TGAAAATATCCAACAGAGTCAGCCACAGCAAGAGGAGAGGATATAGACTGAAAAGTGCTATTGGACTTAGTTACAGAGCAAGAAAGCTACTGTTTAAAAACAGCTGAGTGCATCATTTGTTAAATTAATATAATGAAGAAGGTATTTCCAGGTGTTGGGCACATGGTGCAATATATAGATCTCATACCATAGAATCCCATACCTGAAACCTACATGTCATGTTGACCAATGCCACCCCAGTAAATTAAAAAAATAATAATAATAAAGAAAGAAAGAGAGAGAGAGAGAGAGAGAGAGAGAGAGAGAGAGAGAGAGAGAAAGCTTACTTATAACAGGGGACTGAAGTACAAAAGATTGGCTAGTAAGAAATAAAGAGAGCTCTAGAAATAAACGTAGTAGAAGGAGCAGCTACTATCCCTTAGGACTGAGACACACAATACCCAAGGAAGAAGCCCTACCAGAGCTGAGAAGCAAATCTTGTTGAAGGAACCAACCATGGCCTCCTAAATGGGTACAGAGAAGTCACTGGGAGGCCACATCAGTAGAACTTGCTAGAAAAATGCCCTCAGTGCAGATGAAGGCTGTTCTTAGGGAAATGTCTCCGGAGCACTCTGAGACAAAACTGCCTGAGGAAGGTGACAGCGAAGCTGCTCGCCCCGGGCAGGAGCCAGGAGGAGAAGCGGCACGCACCGGAGCCAGGAGCGCTCGTAGGGGCCTGTGAACCAGCACACCGGAGTTCTTCACTGACAAAGAGAGCAAAGGAAAAATATGCATGTGCCCCAGACACGATGAAGAAGGCTGAATTCGAAGCATGTAGGCCACAAATTGATAACTGGCACACGGTCTGTGGTTTGCCTTTTCATTTTCTTAACTGTGTCTTTTGCTAAGCAGTTTTAAGTTTTGATCGAGTCCAATTATCTATTTTTTTCATGTAAGGTTAGTGATTTTTGTGTCCTCTCTTTGTCTGGATTAAAAAAAAAAAAAAAAAAGGTATTCCCCCTTGCTCCTTTTCACTAATTTCTCTGTTGATCCAGCCGAGATCCACTGAACATCTCCTCTGGCCAGATACCGTGCTAAGCCTCAGGGAGTCAGGAGAAGGAGAACAAGGTCCACTTGGGCCTGTGGGTCACCACCCTGGCCTTCAAGGGAAAGTGACAAAACACTGACTCGTGCCCCAGAGAAGCCAGGGCTCGCCACTTCATTGAAGTTGGTAGTGATTGGCTCTACTGATCACATTCAGTGATATAAAAGTTAGCGCATAAGTCCAGAGGTCAGGAAAACTTTACTGTCTTGCTCTGAGCTGGCAGGAGGCAAAAGGGAAAGTATGTGTGGCACACTATTGCATCATTTCTGCCTGTTCATAAGTCAGTCACAGAGAAGAATCTGGGTTTTTCCAAGAAAACTGGCTTCATCTGCCCAAAGGCAGAAAAGAGAGAGCAGTTCAATTAAAAGAACATCGCCTCAAAAACTCTCTGAAGTTGATCCTATTTAATATTCACTCTGCAGAGATTCTGTTAGCTTTCCACAATACATTGTGTTACTGACTAAACCACTGCTCTACTGTTTTTGTCTTTTTTTTCCGCCCTGTACCCTGTGTTCTAACTACTGGTAAAAGTGTGGTGTAGTTTGTGTTCCACACACTTGATACATGGATTCTGATTAAATATTGGAATTCCCCTTTGAAGCGCTCTGTGAACTAGGCAGCAATAAGGACTGAAGGGTGTTGTAGACTGAGTAAGGTAAGACTAAAGGGGTGCTTGACAATTACTTTCAAGCACATCAAACATACACAACATTAGCCGAAACCAGTTTGACTCAGTGGTAGAGCCTTGGTCTGCGGACTGAAAGGTCCCAGGTTCGATTCCGGTCAAGGGCATGTACATGGGTTGCGGGCACATCCCCAGTAGGGGGTGTGCAAGAGGCAGCTGGTCGATGTTTCTCTCTCATCGACATTTCTAGCTCTCTATCCTTCTCTGCTCCTCTCTGTAAAAAATCAATAAAATATATTTTAAAAATATATATATATACACAACATTATTTACCAGCTAATGACAGGATATTTTATCTTAATGGAAGCTTAAATAGGAGGAAACCTGCTGGAGTTGAAGTATGACAAGTCTAGATTAAATCCAAAGCAGGGTTTCTTGACATTAAAATGTTTTCCCGAGGAAGGCTGAAACAGTTTCTGGTCTGGAAGCCTCTGAGACAGGGAAGGAGAATCTTACCTGAGAAGCCAGGAGGAGCCTATAAGACACTCCATGTTTTTATGATGCTGGGCATTCTTCTTATAAAGCCAATAAAAGCAGAAATAGACTTGTTTTGAGGGATGCATCAAATTCCTTTATAAAGAGCTACTATACTATAATGTTTTTATTAAACCACTGAACTCAGTTGGATGTGAACAGGATACAACTTTATTCTTTTTCAAATGACCACTTTCAAGGCATCTGTGAATCATGAAAAGAAACTGGGACTCTCGGGCAATTTATTTAGTTAATGAAAAGGGGAGGTATGAGGCACCATAACCTATCCCCGTGGTTAACAAACTGCAGCTCACGAGCCACATGCGGCTCTTTGGCCCCTTGAGTGTGGCTCTTCCACAAAATACCACGGCCTGGGTGAGTCTATTTTGAAGAAGTGGCGTTAGAAGAAGTTTAAGTTTAAAAAGTTTGGCTCTCAAAAAAAAATTTCAATCGTTGTACTGTTGATATTTGGCTCTGTTGACCAATGAGTTTGTCGACCACTGGCCTATCCTAATCAGCTTATTGGGTTCAAATCCTAGCTCCTCCATTCCCTAGGGATAATTTTTCTGAGCTTCAATTTCCTCATGTGTATGATGCATAAATTAGTAGCCTGTATCATAGGTTATTGTGAGAAGTAAACAGTTAATGTCTGTAAGGTCTTGGCACGCCGTAGTAAATGTTAGCTGTTACTAGTATGAATGTATGAACAAATATACAGATGCATATTGCAGAAATTCAAGTCATGACACAAGTATGGGATGAATTGTCACAGTTATGAATGCAGTAGGAAAGATGGGACCCAGCTTCTGGATGATGCTGTTAGCTCAGACACAGAGCAGTAACTCCCACCTGCAAGAGCCCTATGAAGTTGGGTCCTTGCCTATGAAGAGCTCAGAGTGAAGCAGATGCCTTTGTAGCATAAATCAGCTTTTATCACAATAAAGACTTTCACAACCAGGCCGAGACCGGTTTGGCTCAATGGATAGAGCGTCGGCTTGGGGACTGAAGGGTCCCGGGTTCGATTCCGGTCAAGGGCATGTACCTTGGTTGCGGGCACATCTGCAGTAGGGGGTGTGCAAGAGGCAGCTGATCGATGACTCTCTCTCATCGATGTTTCTAACTCTCTATCTCTCTCCCTTTCTCTCTGTACAAAATCAATAAAATATATTAAAAAAAAAAAAGACTTTCACAACCAATAATTTTGATAGGTTGGTAGTTTACCAGAAAATACTGTGGGTTCAAGCTTAAGCCAAAAAATTTCCTCTCAGGGACCTTAAGAAAATCATGTTTCTGTGCTTGGCCCTGGGTTTTATAATTTCTTAACAGACCCCTTAATAAAAAACAATTTTCCTTTCTTTAAAAAAAAAAAGTGTGGTGTAGTGTCAGTGGTCATGCCTCCTGAAAATTAATGGGAGTCTGGACGGAGACAAGGGAAGGATACTTTCTAACTAATTAGAATTTTCTTACTATGTTTTCCTTTAATAAAGGGAGCATCTCATTTTACATAATAGACATTGTTTTGCAAAAATAAAGTTTAAATCAAAATGTTTTTAAGGCACCATGGTGAGAAACTGAAACCGAGGTTATCAAAATTTTAAAATAAAACTAAGCGTTCTGTGAAATGTGGATAATCATTTCTTAATTTATAATTAAGATTTTGAAATAAACTTTTTTTTTTTTTTTTAAGATATAGATTGGGTATGTAAATGATGCAAATCTCTGCCCACAACCTCCATTAGACTTTAGCTTTTGGGGTCTGGCCCGATGAATTGGAACAGGAGTAGAAAAATAAGCTCCATAGAGCTTCTGCTTGACAGAAATGTCCTCAAGGGACCCTGAGCTCAAGCCTGAACTTTTCCAATGCTTCCATCTCAAGTCCCCGAGGAACTGGGGTGAGTCTAACAAGAAGCGGGGAGGGGGGAAGAGTAAATCCTCCCCCACTGGGGAGGGTGGGAATAACAAATTATTCTTGTTGAGTGCTTGCAAGGAGCCAGGCTCTTCCTCCAACTCCCGCTGTGTGTCACTCAATCACCCCAACACCCCATGAACTGGTTATTCTGATTATCTCTGATGAGAAACTGAGTCAGAGGGGTTCACAGCAATCTGCCTGCTGCCACTCACTTACCAAGAGGTTGGATGGATGCTTTGCTGGTGCCGGCCGTTACAGGCCGTCGGTACTAGGCCTCAGCTTTGCTTGTGGATTAGAAAAATGCAAATGAGCAACACCTTCGCCGCAGGCCAAGGCAGGGCCAGTCGGGTAAAGCGGGTGGGTGACTTATGACTTCTGAGATAAGGAATACTTCTGTAAGGAAGGGTATGTGGGAACCAAAGGTGAACTCCCAGTGTGTGCGGTTGGTTGGGAAGAGGTCCACGGCCAACTCCCAGCGGGTCCAAACCGAGACCTGGAGCTTTCGCTCTCCTCTGACCGTGCCCCAAAGTCCGCGGGCCAAAGGCTGGAGCCACCGCGGGCCGCCGGCCACGTGGCCCAGCCCCGGAGCTAGGGGGCGGGGCCGTGGGGGCGGAGCCCGAGGGGCGGGGCTGGGGCTCAAGGACGCGCAGGCCGGGCGCAGTGCGCCTGCGCGCGAGGTGGGCGGGGCGGGGGTGGGGGAGACCCGCGGGCGCGAGCCGCGTTAAAGGCGGCTCGGGGCGCCGCTCCCAGCCCAGCCCCGGCAGTGCGCAGGCGCGGACGGCTCCCCTTGTCACTCGGCGCCGCGTGCGGGTGGCTTTGCTCGGTGGCTGCGGCGGGTCTTCGGCATCATGAGCGGCTTCAGCAGCGAGGAGCGCGCCGCGCCCTTCTCCCTCGAGTACCGCGTCTTCTTCAGTGAGTGCGGCGGCCCCGCGGCCCCTCCCCGCCCGCGCGTCCATTCATTCCCGGGCCGTCCCGCCTGGGCGCCTGCGGCCCGTGCTCAGCCCCTCGCCCCGGGCGCGGGATGGGCTCCTCCGGCCGGTCCGCGGGGCCTGGGCCTGCCCTGTCTTCCCATTTCACAGGTCCCGCCCGCGGGTGGGACGGTACAAGCTCGGTTGGACCCGAACCTGGGCCAGGCTAGTGTTGCAGGTGCCGGGCAGTGTGTGATGGGAAAAGGAAACCTCTGAGTCACCCTAGAAAGGTGCCTGGAGGGAAACGAATCCCTTTAAGAGGATTGTTCAATTTGGAAGAAAAGATGGGGGTTAAGGGGAGGCGGGGGAGGTTCCCTAGGACCTTCATTCCTTCCTTATATCTCTGACTTGCCGCCCCTCGTTCTACAAACGGGGAGACGGGGGCCCAGACCCATCCATCCCTCCAGGAGGATTTGCTGGCAGCGCTCCTGCCTGTGCCGCGTGTTTTCCCGCAGCCCTGATGCTGGGAACCGGCTGTGAAACAGAAAGCCATTCCCTCCCAGCGCACGGTGACGTCAGCCCGGCCGGCGGGGTCAGAAAGCGCCCAGCGCTGACCCCTGTGCGGGGACCGGGCGTCTGCGGGGCGCCCGCCCGAGCCCGCCCGGAGCGGAGGAGCTGCAGGCCGCGGAGCCCCGCTCCCCGGAGCGCACCCCCTCCAGCCTTGTAGGTGCAGGAGAGCTACCCCGGCTTTATCCTTACTCTCTACCCCCGTCCCCAACCCGCCCCAAGCCATTAGGACTAGGTGATCCGAGGCGTTCAGCACTGTGTCACCAGAGGCACTTCTGTTTCACCTTCTTTACCGTTTTGTTTGGAAGGGAGTGGGCAGGTGCACTCATTTCTGGGAGTTCCCCATCCAGTGTGTGGAGGGCGAGGAAGAGCGGGTTTACAGGGAACAAATGGGATTACGGAAAGAAAGAACAGAGCTCCTATCCAAGAGCAGCCCGGGGTGGGAGGAAAGGTGAACTCTCCAAGTGAACACATCTGGTTGAATATTAGACTAAAATCCAACGTGTAATATTCAGGACGGCTGCGACTCGCCACTGTTTTAAAACATCGGAAAAAGCAGCCAGGGCTGTGCAGGAACGTTCAGGGAGTCACTGAACTATTTTTCCGGAGTTCCTGTTGGCACAGGAATTCCTCAGTAGGAGGGTTTCAGAAGGGTGACTGGTTTGAAGGACTGGGGATGGTTTGGGCGATACTCCAGTTATATTTGCAGAACAAACACAGTTTTTTAGGTTGTGTGTTAGTAGCAAATATTTGATAGCCACTCTGGAAGACCAAAGCTACTCCTTGACTTGGGCACTGGCTAAAGTAACTTTTCACTAAATGGAACTCTCTGGAACTTAAGAATACCAATAATTAGATCCAATTCTAATTATTCATATCATTTTAAGTGTTGTTGTTTTTTTAATCATAGATTTCTTAGACTCCTTCCTCAGCAGGGTATTTTTTGAATCCTCTGTAATGTTACATTTGCTAGTCTCTTTAAAACTGAAGGTGAGTCGGGCCGAAACCGGTTTAGCTCAGTGGTAGAGCGTCAGTTTGCGGACTAAAAGGTCCCAGGTTTGAATCCGGTTAAGGGCATGTACATCGGTTGCGGGCACATCCCTGTAAGGGGTGTGCAAGAGGCAGCTGGTCGATGTTTCTCTCTCATTGACGTTTCTAGCTCTCTATCTCTCTCCCTTCTTCTCTGTAAGAAATCAATAAAATATATTTTTTTTAAAAATGAGAGTGGGTCGGACAGCAGTCACAGGTGACTGGATGGGATTGGGAGTGGTCACTGTTGGTTTCTAAACCTGAATGGATGCCGTGTGGACTGACGGAAGTTTCCTGGAGAAAAATAGGGAAGCTTTTAAATTACTTTTTGGATAATGGTAGTTTGATCTTTAGAATATAGACATTACCTGTGAAAGTGTTATTGCAACTTGATTATCCTAAAGAAAAATCATAATCTCGGCTGGCTCTGTCTTCCTGGAACATTATTTAAGGCATCCTGGTTTATAAGTCAGCAAACTGATCCCCTCCCTTCTCTTTGAGCCCAAGTATGAGGCAGTCCCTGTCCTTATTATAGAGGTTAGTACCTCTTAGATGCCTGAGGAATGCAGAGGATGAACACTTAACCCAGTCTTGGAGGAGAGTCAGGAAAGGTGGAGTATACAGCCAGCTTTTTTGTGGGAATAAAATCTTGGTGTAAAAATGTGTGCTGTACCATTCTGGTGAGTGGTGTTGACAGTAGGGGAGGCTATGCATGTGTGGGAGCAGGGGGGATATGGGAAATCTCTGTACCTTCTCCATTTTATTGTAAATCTAAAGCTGCTCTTAAAAATTACGTTTCTTTAAAAGTGTACTTCATATATCTGGAAATATAATTAACCAAAAAAGTAATAACATTTTCTAATTTATTTTGCAGAAAATGAAAAGGGACAATATATATCTCCATTTCATGATATTCCAATTTATGCAGATAAGGTAAGATGTTCTTATCTTTTGAGCCTAGTCTCTTTACTGAGGTCGGATAGTTCCACATATGGATTTTCTTGTATCTTAACTAGAGTCCTTAGTGGCTGCCAGCTGCAGTCTGGGGCCTCCTTATTCCCCCTCCCCGGCTGTCTCTGCCACCACCACCACCAACATCACCACCAATGGTGATGCCACAGGTGGCCAGGGCAGGGCTGGCCAGGGGGAGGGGCCAAGGACGGTTGGCTGGCCAACCCTACCCCCTGGTCAAACTCTCAGTGGAACACCTGATTGAGGGGACAACTTGCATGTTAGACTTTTATTAGATAGGGTAAGGTTTTAAAATGCCTCATTGTGCTGTGAGCTAAGGGGCATCGACTAAGAAGTCAGTCTTAAATACAGATTATTCAGTTAAAGAAGCAACTGTAGCTTGGGAAAGGAGTATAGGAATAGAAGCCAATGTTTTAAAGCTGCCTTGATTAACAAAAAAATTCACATTGGTCTTTTTTGTATGTGTGTATGGAACTAAAATCTTAGTGTTCCATTTGTGGTTTTAAAATTAACTAGCCAGTCCAAAACTTGGGCTGTGGGATATTTACTAAATAATAAAAATTTTTAAAAAAACTAGATTATTCAGTGAATACAGAAAAATTCAGTACTTTTATTGGACTGGTAGAGTTAAGATCTGCAAATAGTGTTAATAAAGGTAAGTCCACAGACTTCTAAAAAGAGGTGCCTGTTCCTGTATATACAGTGAGCCAAAGAGATCTAACTTTAGGCACAGATTGGTAGGCTTACCACAAAATGGTAAGAATCTTTACTTCCCTAGGAAAAAAAAGTCTTCAACTTCATATTCCAAAATAGTCATGATCCTTGGGAAGTAACCTTAATTGCTAGTGGGTTACTTTCATTTTTACTTTCCTTTTGCCTTTTTATATTTTCTAACCTTTTTATAAAGATCATTCATTATTTGTACATATTCAAATAGTCATTTTAAAAAGAAGAAAACACGACTTTTTTTTAGCCTTCTTCGTAATAGAAGTTTGTACTGAATTTAGGAACTGACACAAAAACAAGTGTTCGATTCTTTTCTCTACCTTTAAAACATTTTTTTATTTTCATTTAATCAGGAAGCTTGATTCACAGTGAGTGCAAATCTTTTGGAGTTGTAAACGCTACATAGGTTATTGATCTTCTTTAGCTAGATGTCTGTACATGAACACGTGAACATCATATTCCAGTGCTCATCTAGGATACTAGTAAAGATGACATTTTATCCTTGGGTGTGCTGTCTCACTATTTGTCCTTATTTATCAGAGAGAAACAGACGAATTCATTTCACTACTACCAGGAAGTTAGCTGCAGGTTGGTATTGGCACTTGGACATTGGCAGAAAATCCAACCTGTGTGTTGCTTCCAAGGAGCCTACCTGAGCTGGGGCTCCAGCTGGAGGCCATGGAACAAACATCCCCAGGCCAGTGATGTTACAGGAGGGACCGATAATTGGCATGTGTTCTCCTGAGAGATTCTTAGAGTGTATTTACTCAGAGGCTCTACTTTGTTACATCTGATTTCCTGGGAGTTGATGTGGACTGCAGGATCCTTCCTCCTGAACAGGCATCATCTGAATATTTTTTGTATAATTAGTATGCATAGCAAAGTACTTTGCGGTAACATCTTATACCATTTTGAGTAATGAAGAGGTAAAAAGTGATGACCCTAAGTTTATTGATGGTACCTTGGCATACAGATGTACTAAGGAAGGAAAACATTTTCTTGACATACGGCTATGTTGTGTTTTTTATTTTTATTTATTTTTTATTTTTATTGGTTTGAGAGAGGAAGGGACAATGAGAAAGAGATAGAAACATCAATGATGAGAGAGAATCACTGATTGGATGCCTCCTGCACGCCCCCACTGAGAATCAAACCATGACTTCCTGGTTCATAGATTGACGCTCAGCTACCCAGCCACACTAAGCCAGGCTTGTTGTATGTGTTTTTTTTTTTTAAACAATGCTCCTGTCTTAATCTATTTGGGCAGCTGTAACAAAATTCCACAGAATGGGTAGCTTATAAATAGCAGACATGTATTGCTCACAGTTCTGGAGGCTGCAAGTCTGAGATTGGGGTGCCAGTGTGGTCAGATGAGGGCCCTCTTCTGGTTGCAGACAGCTCAGAGTGTCCCCATGTGGCAGAGGACCCAGGGTGCTCTGCAGAGCCTCTGTAAGTCACGAGGGTTCTACTCTCATCATGTCTTGACCACTTCCCAAAGGTCCCACCTAATATGCCATCTTCTTTGAGGTGTGAATTCTGGGGGAACACATACATTCAACATACGAATTTTGGACTTCAAGAAGAATTGGGGGGGGGGGACAAACATTCAGACCGTAGCAATAAGTGACTTGACAATATTCTAGCCAAGGACTATAATGATCGTAGCAATTATTGTATCTAATCTTACTGCTTCAAGTTTCTTCACAATGGGAAACTGAAGACTAGATTGGTGTCATGTAAAACATCTTCACTCAGGTTATTCTGTGACTCTTTGAAGTCTCATATGGATTGGTTGGGATTACTTAAATGAAGACTTTTAGCCCTGGTTAGTGTGACTCAGTTAGTTGAGCATCCTCCCATTCACCGAGAGACCACCGGTTCAATTCCTGGTCAGGGCACATGCCCAGGTTACAGGCTTGATCCCCAGAAGGGGACATGCATGAGACAGCTGATCCATGTTTCTCCCTCTCTTTTCCTTTCTCTCTAAAATCAATAAGAACATATTTTTTAAAAATACTTTGCTCTTATACCACCCAAAAGGTGGCTCAAAAAGCACAAGCTCTTGCAACAACTCTTATTTCACTAGTGGTCCATTTCTCAGTGAACTTCAGTACTTCAGATTCCTGCCTGAGAAACAGGAAAGCGTTCTTTTGTTTCGTTTTTAAGGAAATTCACTGTGTACAAAACGAGTAAGGGTGTGGTACACATAAATTATTTTGGATTGTAGCCTAAGTAAAATAACAGATTGACTCCATTGGTTACAGAAGAGTGTGACTTTAAAAATATTTCCGCCTTAATTGGCCTGCGGATTGAAGGGTCACAGGTTTGATTCTGGTCAAGGGCATGTAACTCGGTTGCAAGCTGGATTCTGGCCTCCCCGGGTGCTTGCCAGAGACAACCAGTTGATGTGTCTCTCTCACATTGATGTTTCTCTGTCTCCCTCTCTCTCTAAAAAATAAAAGGAAAAAATATTATTGGATGAGAATTAACAACAACAACAAAAATTCCAATGTAATTAAATTTACATACATTTTTCTATGTGGGTGACCATAGGCCATATCCCTAACATGTTCACCCATTAGGCAGATGATAATGAGAGAGACGGTACCTCTAACATAATGCACTCAATTCTACTAAGGAAAATGCCCAAAGGATTATCCTACTGCAAGTCAGGACCTTTCCGTGTGGAGAGCATTTGACTTGGGATACATGTCATTAGGTCATCAATCCAGCCAGTCCTGGGAATCCTTATAACTCAGACACCCTGCTTGGATTATTTCCAAATCCCGTTGGGTGGAAGAAGGCAAGGGCAAGGACTCACTGACTTTTGTTGTTGTTTTTTGTAAGCATGTCCTTTGCTCTTGGGTCTATTTGGGAATCAAATGTAAATGCACCTGTAGTTCAGAGTGTTTTTGGCTTAAAATTTCTAAGATACCAGAAATTTTTAAAATACAAAATAGAGTATAAACAGTGTGAAACGTTGACTAAATTAAAACTTTAACTATGAAAGTATTCAAGTATAATTTGATGTTTTAGAAGTTTGATATTTTTTATATTCTATCTTCAAGTTTGATGTTAAATACTAGTTCTAACAATATAGGCATGTGTTTGCTTTTCAGTGACTGTGGGGAAGCATATGTAAATATGGAACTATTTTTCTTTTCTCTCTTAAAAAGTCAGACTTCTAATTAAATGGATTGATGCTTGAGAAATATAAATATTTTTTGCAGTGTGTATTATTCTTAGCTTTTTAAAGATACTATCTCACTGTACCCAAATTTTTTGCCTTCTTTTAAATTTTCTATTTCTGTTCCATAAATTGAAGTTGTAAAAATATCACAGAATCTTACCTAATAAAAGAGAAACATGCAAATCAATCATCACTCTGCTATGCCCACAGCCAGTCAGCGTTTGTATGCAAATGAACCCAACAAAGATGGAGGTTAATTTGCATATATAAGTGCAGAGCAGAGTAAAGCTTGTTATGAGTTGAATTGGGGCTGCCAAGAGAGCTACTGGAATGGTGCTCTGGACAGAAGCGAGGACTTGCCAGCTCCCGGGCAGCTGGGAGTGAAGCCAAAGGAAGGCCTATTCTTGCACAAATATCGTGCAATGGGCCTCTAGTTAATATAAACACTGTCTTTTTCAGCTTATTATTTATGTAGAATCGTTGGATTTTCTGGGTTGTTTTTGTTTATCTTTTGGTTTTGCATTTTCCAAACCAAAGTTAGAACTCAAAACATAGATGAAAATTATCACAATTAAACATAATTGACATGTCATAAATAAGAATAAGCTCCTATTTCCCCCTCAGAGGAGCTTTTAAAATGACTAAAAATTGAAAATAGCTATTCTAACCATAATTTCTGTGATTTATCAACTTTATAAAAAAACTAATTTGTGCTGATTAAATATGCATATATTGTTCTTAAAGCAAGTCTCAAAACACAATAACCAAACAAAAATAGATTGATTATGTTGATCACAATGATTGGTTATATCTGAAGACTTTGAGAACTCTATTTTATGGATAGCAAATCTTGATTTCAGTCCTGGTTTTATCAGTGACTAGTTTTATGATGTAGAGCAAGTTACTTTACCTCTGAGCACTGTTGGTGTTGGTGGAATTTTATGTTATATTCTACACTGACAGTTCATGATTCTATATATATTTAACTTGCTGTTGAAGTCTTATTAAAGATTTTTATTTCAAAAATCAAATAATATTGTTAATA